AAAGTTTATTTCAGAAGCTTTTCAACCATATCATTAGATAGCCCCTTCAATTCTCCACAAAATGAGATGCTGGCCAAGCTTCTATGATGTTATGTCAAAAAGTGCCATACAAAATACGATATAGATCGAAGAAGATTGACCAACATCTCATTTTGTGGAGAATTGAAAGGGCTATCTAATGATATGGTTGAAATAAACTTTAAGATCACTAGATTTTCTAGAATCGGATTTTTCAGAAATCTCTAGCTCAAGACTCCGATGTGTAGCATAACTTTTCACCATCGAGATATATAGAACTCGAGGTGCTCTTTTATTTGATATAAACCGCAAGGTTCTGCGTTAAAGAATGTGGCCAGCAGACGTTCTACAAGTTAGGTCAAATCTGGAGGGCGAAAACGCATTTTTTCAGCTGTGAGGGTGAAAGGGTCATAACTTTTTTCCTAACAAGGCTAGAGAGTTGCGGTTTTCACCATTCGGTCCAATTTGCTGAGCTCTATAATATGAGGTTACATGAGCTCTATTACATTGAGGTTGATGAGGTATTTTTTTGGATGAATCTGACCGATAACATATCAAAAGCGATGCTTGAATGTCTTAATTCAACATTTTTGTATACTAGCCCCACTCTAAAATTCAAGACAAGTATACAAATTTATAGAGTTTTTTAAGGTCTATGGAATGGTATATGAGTTCTGTTGTGCAATTGAATGATCTCAAACAAATCAAAATACTGTGGATTACCTAGCATTAGATTTGGTACTCTATCAAAGTTCGATCATTTTCTCTCTACATTAATAGTCAAAAAAGTATTTTAAAAACACAGTTTTATAGCCCGTGAGAAATTCTGTCTGTTGATATATAGCATTAAATTAGTACACGTTTGGCAAGCAGAAACCAAAAGTAACATGTGAAAATAAATGTGGATATAATCAGCTATCACCACCAGTAAGAATTAATCAAAAACAGCGGGGGCCGTTTTCCTATAGAAATCGCCCCCCCCCTTTTAATAATAACGTAAAAGGATAATGTCTCATACTGTATATGGTGACGACCAACTAAGAGTTTGCGTGATAACGCAAAGAAAGAACTTTTGACAGACATTTTTATATACATGGCATGAGCTAGAGAACGAAAAAAATGTTTTAATGAAAATCATGCACAATCTTTAACGAAATGTAAGATGATTTCTTTTTCTCAAATATTCAATTACTGAAAAGATTTTTACAAATATAAAGCGATGTATTTCACACAATGGAAAGAAATTCGATGTTATAGATATGATTTTGACGGTTTAGTACATCCTGTTTTTCCATTGCTTAAAATTTGAATATCTTTGGGATTTGTTTTTTACGAGCTAAGATTATATTTTTAGTTTCTTATCTAAATTATTTTTCTGATCTATTTTTTTTTCTTCAAGATAACTGACAATATCAGTCATAACATTTGACTTGAAGTAATTTGATGATATAAATCAGTTTGATCAAAAATATTTCAAATCAAATTTACAAATAACTATCTAAACTAATGAAACGAAACAATTTTTCTTAGAAATCTCTAACTTTCAATAAAATCTAAAGAAAATATTTACATTCATAGATAAAGATATACTTGAAAAAAGATTATTAATGTATTTTATATTTTTATGTTTCGGATAATTGTGAAAAAAAACAACAACCAAATTTTCAGAACTATGTATGCGTGTTAAAAATCATCAAATTTATTTGAACGCATAATATTTTAAGTTATTTTGGTAGACAATTTGAATGATATATTCTTATGAATGAAAACAAGTAATGTGAGTATAATATTTTTTTGACTAATGTTAATGATAAAATTTTTTATACATTTTCTATAATTTAAATTTTAAAACACAAGAGTTAATTAATTTTTTTACTTATCTCCTGAAAGAATAATGTACTCTATTCGAATTTTTACTTCGATTGATGAATTTCCTACGGAAGAAGTTGCCAGTAATGATTAGTATACTCATTCCTTTTACAGTAATAAACAACCAACGCATTACACATACTGCTAATTCAAAGTGGAGCGTAGGAGAAGGAAATAAAAACACCAATTGTCAATATTACATACAAATATACATTCGCTGTTTTTATTAGAATAAAATTCTCTATTAAACCATTTTTTTATCAAAATAGATTTGTATCACTTCAAAAATTCGCATTTTTACTCACGATACGAAACAAACCTAATAAATGATATTACTTTTATTTATTCCTTTTCTTTTTCCTTTTTCCATAATTGACAGTAGGATCTCTTTTTATCACATGAAAATCTAATTACATTTGTAACGACATAGTTAAACTTTTTGTTAAGAGAGTATTGAGTATTGGAATATAGTACGTTTTAAACATTCACATAACATGAGAGAGAGAGAAAGAGACGTTTTTTACGTTGCCGTTCTGATCAGTTAACTTTACTATTGAGCGTATTGAAAGTAATAGGAGACTTCTATAAGTTTGAATGAAGATCACTGATATTGTTTTTAGAATAAAATATTGATAATTTTCATTGATTGGTTGAAGTACTTATTCAAGTAGAATCTGATCAATATCTGTTTTTACTTTTTGTTCTTTTAGATTATATTTGTTGGAAAAATACTTTTTTTTTTTTGTTCTTTGCGTGTTTTTCTATCGACTTCTTCTGTTTCTTAGTTTTACTCTATTATTGTCGAAAATAAAATATATTTTCATCTTCTCTTATTTGAATATCAATTAATAATAAATAATCTGTTTTATCTAAGAAAATACAGATATATATTAGGATCATTTGAAAAGAATAAAATAACCCAAAGAAATCGTCAAAATGAAAATATTTTTTGTTAGAAACTTAAATTCTCCAATTTTTATTACATTCATTATATTTTTTTTAATTATTAAATCAATGTCGTATCCATTTCGATCATGGGATGTTGATCCAGAACAGGTATGAACACTATACCGACGATGTTACAAGAAGATGATTTTAATTTATCATAATTTTTCTTTCAACAGAGTAAGATTAAAAATGATCTTGCTATATTTTGTCTGCCTCATTAGTTGACTAGTAAATATCTCGTATTATCCATAACATTCATAAAAAGAACTAGTAAATATGTTGATTAAAAAGGTTTTCCCTTTTAAAAAATAATCGGTTGGAATGTCGATGGTTTATGAACTCATTAATTCAGGATGTTATCTCTGTTCATTTTTCACGAAAATGAATTTCAAATGAGATATCATCTATAAAACAATTTTTCATATATGAAAGATTGTTTTATAGATAATATCTGTATAAGTCTGCATCATCATGTGAAACCGACGTTAAAAGAATTGTAGACTAAGAGCCATCACATTCAATCATTTTTCAAAAAACAGTTAGTTTTTCAAACCGTCGAGAACCGATTCTGAAAATGACAACCAATGAGAACTGAGTAAAAAAAAAAAGATATAATCGTTTAAAATCATGATTAAAAAGTTGTAAAGCGATCAAAATATAACTGGCGATAATAGAGCGATTGTCAGGAGTTTTTTTTTCGTGGAGTTTTTCATCTAAAAACGATGAAGATAGACGCACAATTTCAACAAAAAAAAGTATAATAGTTACACTTTATTCTACTTATTAATACTTAAAAGTATAATAGATTTACTTT